TATATATAACCTGAAACTTCCTCTTGTGTTTACTTGCACGATCATACGCGTGCATACAGGCAGAGTTACACAACTTATACTGACACGAGTAGAATCTGGATTAAATAATGTAAGTTTGAAATGAATTTGGTTTGAACGTTTAACTAAAACTCTACACATGCAGATTCTCGTGTTAATACGCTTCAAGGGATGATATACGAACTCATATTCAACATGTAAACTGTAGTTTTGTGAGTTTCTGCACTGAAATTACTTCTTTGAGGGGAGATGTTACCCACATATTTGTGTTCTCTGAAACATCAGTAACTTGTATATCTGTTTACATTTGCAAATCAACTAAAAAAAGTCCTAAACTTTTGCTACAACCAAAAAAAAAAAAATCAACTTTTTTAGTGTCACACAACCTGTCGTGTTACATATTGACCACCAGATGGCGCCAAAACACCATCTTTGTCAAAACCTTTGTTTGTTTTTTTAAGCAATAAATGTGGGACGTTTATTATTCGTTACAATGTGGTTTCATTTTAGTTAATTTACAAATTTTCTCCAGTTTAATTGTTTTTTTTAAAATATATATTATAAAACAGTGCTATTTAAATGCTATGTATTAATTGTGGGGGTACAATATTAAATGTGATTATTTTCCATGTATGTGCTGTTTTCTGTTTAAGTCTTTTATTAAAGATACATCCTGAAGTTGCAAATATGTTTATTTTACTAAACTGTCATTATTATTATTTTTTTTATTATTATTTTGAAATCCTATCATCATCAGTCTAATTTATATTCGGTTTGAAGTAAAATATTAATTGTTTTTCCCTAAATGATTCATTTATTTATCTGGGACCCTTTGGCAGGACTAGACAGTGGGTATTTTTTTTATTTTATTTTATTTTTTAGGTCAAAGCTGTTTTATACTGATGGACATTGTGAGGCATTGTGAGTCTGTAATGGATGAGGAAGAGGTGGGGTCAGAGGAGACAACTTCATTCAGCTTTAACTGCACTGTGGGCCGAAACAGCCTGACACTTACTTGACAGGGATTTTCAGCGCTGCCAAATATATTTCTTTTTCTTTTTTCTTTTTGGATACAAATGACCGACTACCACATGGGTAAGTCTTGATCTGCTTTGACTCTTGCATTATATAAACTATTCTCATTGTTGCTCAGTGATTCTTGATATTAACAAAAGCTATTTACTTTGTTTTCTGTTTAAATCCTTTTAGGTTGTTAAGATTTTTTTTTACAAGATTGACAGTGTGTGTCTACATCATCATTCCCTTTAAGACATTTCTCTGCAGAACTCATTTAGCAGTAAACTGCTGATGAATACATCAAGTTAAAGTTTTTGACATGTGCATGACCAGACCTCTACTTTGTGATAATCACAAGTCTTGGCATTATGATCTTACTTTGCACAAGATTAACTTTTATATTGAAATCCGTTCAATCTGTTTGGTCTTAGTCTTCTAACAGTGGCTTTTTTCTGTGACAAACAAACACATTAAATGAATCCCATGGTCTCTAACCTGACATGTGTGTGCCGAGTGAAACAGCTAAATAGGTTTTCAGTTTATCACTGTCAGCACCTGTGAAGCCATGAACATGCAGGCTGATACGCTGCCAAAATGGAGAAGAGACAGTCTCTCACAGGGTTGTGCATCACTGATAATAATAATGATAATAAAAAAGTTCTCATGTTAAATCTAAATAATTCTTGAATTACAGCTCAGTTACTAGAGTTGCCTTCTGTTTGCAGCTTATTGTCTATTTCTCTAAATGAGCTGTGTGATGATGTGCGCATGCAAAGGCTTTGTTTCTCAAGACGAGCAGAGGAAGGGTGGAGTGGAAGCTCTGTGGTCGGATCTGCACCAACAAACACCTCGTACATCTCGCAGGAAGCGCAGATCATGGCCACTTCTTCAAAAAGTCGCATTTAAAATGCCGCTCGTCGTGATGGCGTGCATTCTGAGAAGGAATAATTTAACTTGAGTCATTGTTATTTTATTAAAGAATATATCTTTTGATAAAGTTTAGCCATCTGCTACTTCTAACAGATACGGACGATAAACCAAGTATGACGATAGTGTGAAGAAAATTATAATTACATAAAGTTTTCATGGAAATTACTACAGTGCCTTGCGAAAGTATTCGGCCACCTTGAACTTTTCAAACTTTTGCCACATCTCAGGCTTCAAACATAAAGATATAAAATTGTAATTTTTTTGTGAAGAATCACCAACAAGTGGGACACAATCGTGAAGTGGAATGAAATTTATTGGATGTGTCAAACTTTTTTAACAAATGAAAAACTGAAAAGTGGGGCATACAATATTATTGGGCCCCTTTACTTTCAGAGCAGCAAACTCACTCCAGAAGTTCAGTGAGGATCTACGAATGATCCAATGTTGTCCCAAATGACTGATGATGATAAATAGAATCCACATGTGTGTAATCAAGTCTCCATATAAACGCACCTGCTCTGTGATAGTCTCAGGGTTCTGTTCAAAGCGCAGAGAGCATCATGAAGACCAAGGAACGCACCATGCAGGTCCGAGATACTGTTGTGGAGAAGTTTCAGGCCGAATTTGGATACAAAAATATTTCCCAAACTTTAAACATCCCAAGGAGCACTGTGCAGGCAATCATATTGAAATGGAAGGAGTATCAGAGCACTGCAAATCTACCAAGACCCGGCCGTCCCTCTAAACTTTCATCTCGAACAAGGAGAAGACTGATCAGAGATGCAGCCAAGAGGCCCATGATCACTCTGGATGAACTGCAGAGATCTACAGCTGAGGTGGGAGAGTCTGTCCATAGGACAACAATCAGTTGTACACTGCACAAATCTGGCCTTTATGGAAGAGTGGCAAGAAGAAAGCCATTTCTCAAAGATATCCATAAAAAGTGTTGTTTAAAGTTTGTCACAAGCACCTGGGAGACACACCAGACATGTGGAAGAAGGTGCTCTGGTCAGATGAAACAAAAATCCAACTGTTTGGCCACAATGCAAAACGATATGTTTGGCGTAAAAGCAACACAACTTATCACCCTGAACACACCATCCCCACTGTCAAACATGGTGGTGGCAGCATCATGGTTTGGGTCTGCTTTTCGTCAGCAGAGACAGGGAAGATGGTCAGAATTGATGAGAAGATGGATGGGGCCAAATACAGGACCATTCTGGAAGAAAACCTGTTTGAGTCTGCAACAGACCTGAGACTGGGACGGAGATTTATCTTCCAACAAGACAATGATCCAAAACATAAAGCCAAATCTACAATGGAATGGTTCACAAATAAACGTATCCAGGTGTTGGAATGACCAAGTCAAAGTCCAGACCTGAATCCAATCGAGAATCTGTGGAAAGAGCTGAAGACTGCTGTTCACAAACGCTCTCCATCCAACCTCACTGAGCTCGAGCTGTTTTGCAAAGAAGAATAGGCAAGAATTTCAGTGTCTCCATGTGCAAAACTGATAGAGACAAACCCCAAGAGACTTGCAGCTGGAACTGCAGCAAAAGGCGGAGATACAAAGTATTAACGCAAGGGGGCCGAATAATATTGCACGCCCCACTTTTCAGTTTTTTATTTGTTAAAAAAGTTTGACACGTCCAATAAATTTCATTCCACTTCACGATTGTGTCCCACTTGTTGTTGATTCTTCACAAAATGTTAAATTTTTATATCTTTATGTTTGAAGCCTGAAATGTGGCAAAAGGTTGAAAAGTTCAAAGGGGCTGAATACTTTCGCAAGGCACTGTAAGTAATCCTGGTTGGTGTGTTAGTGAGATACTGCAACATCAGTGGCACAAGCTTCAACTGCAGATTATTTGTGCATTGACAGATGTTACTGCTGAAAAATAAGCCCTGAAGAGCAAACTGAAAGCTTTATGATAAATGTCCCTATCAAATGGACACATTATTTATTTATTTAAACCAGAGCAACTTTTTTGTTTTCCCCAAAGGGCCACATCAAGGTGTTTAAAGCAATCAAAGGGCTGCATAGAGAATTGGAAAATACATTTTCTTTATGACAGATAATCTAGAAGACCTTTTTCAGATTTGTTCTTATTGTAGCAAAGTTAGCATGCTTTATAAGTGGAACATGGACTGTACTTATACAGCACCTTTCTCTCTTATCAAGATACTCAAAGCACTTTACAACACAATCTGTGTCCTCAGTTACCCATTCATACAGCACTCTACTAGATCTATACAAAGACTAATCAGAGCTTTATCACATTCCTACACTGATGGGACACACATCAGAGTCAATGAGGGGTTCAAAGTCTTGCCCAAGGACACTTTAACATGTGCTTACTGGTGGAATCGAAACCCACAACTCTCCCATTGTAGGACGACTGCTCTAAACACTCAGCCACAGCTGCCTTCTTTATAAAACAAGTCTTTCCAATATCCTTTAGGAATATAAAACATATTCTGTAAACTGGCCCTTGGAGCAATGAATTATACACATTTGCTTAATTTGTTAGTACGATGGAGTATTAGGGCCACGATAAGAAAAACCAAAAGACAATACAAGAAATAAGTCATGTAATTTCGAGAATAGACTCATAGTATTACAAGAATAAAGTCATAGAATTACTAGAATAAAATTATACAACAATAAAGTCATAAAATTATGAATAAAGTTCTAGTTTTATGAGAATAAAGTCATAGTATTACGAGAATAAAGTTGTAGTATTACAAGAATAATGTTGTAGTATTACGAGAATAAAGTCATAGTATTACGAGAATAAAGCTGTAGTATTACAAGAATAAAGCCATAGTATTACGAGAATAAAGCTGTAGTATTATGAGAATAAAGTCGTAGTATTACAAGAATAAAGTTGTAGTATTACAAGAATAAAGTCATAGTATTACGAGAATAAAGCTGTAGTATTACGAGAATAAAGTCGTAGTATTACAAGAATAAAGCTGTAGTATTATGAGAATAAAGTCCTAGTATTCCAAGAATAAAGACATACAACAATAAAGTCATAAAATTACGAGAATAAAAGTTGTAATATTAGGAGAACAAGGTCATAGTATTCCTAGAATAAAGTTGTACAACAATAAAGTTGTAATAGTATGAGAATACATTTGAAATAATACAAAAATAAAGTCATAGTATTACAAAAATAAAGTTGTAGTATTAAGAGAATAAAGTTGTACTGTTACAAGAATAAAGTCGTAGTATTCCTAGAATAAAGTCGTACAACAATAAAGTCAAAGTATTACGAGAATAACGTCATAGTATTCCTAGAATAAAGTCATACAGCAATAAAGTCATAATGTTACAAGAATAAAATCATATTATTATGAGAATAAATACAAAATAATACAAAATAAAGTTTAGTATTACAAAAATACCGTTGTAGTATTAAGAGAATAAAGTCATAATATTACAAGACTAAAGTCACAGTATTACGAGAATAAAGTTGTATTTCAAGAATAAAGTCGTAGTATTACAAATATAAAGTCGAAATAATAAAAAATGAAGTTGTAGTATTACGAAAATAAAGTTGTAGTATTACGAGAATAAAGTCGTAGTAGTACGAGAATAAAGTCATTGTATTACAAATATAAAGTCCAACTAATACAAAAATAAAGTCGTAGCATTACCAGAACTCCAACATGAAAAGAGTTATAGTAGTTTAGGTCAATATTTAGCTTAATATTTGTAAAATTACTGAATTACAGTCATTGTTGTGTGGCCAGCCGTGGAGGCCATCTTAAATTGGTTGACTCCAAAGTTTCCAGTTATAGATGTACATTCAGTTTCATTCATTTCTGTCCAATGGTCCATGAGCACCAGCAAACACAGTTGACCACAATAGTTACTGGCAAGGTTTAACCTCAGATCTTCAGAGACATTCAGAGATTCTTTATTGTCATTCGCACCACATGTGGTCAGTCAGAGTCAGAATCAAAGTTTCTTTATTGTCATTTGCACCTCATGTGGTACATGTGGTGGAGCGAAATTATGTACACAGTGTCCCAGTTACATCCAACAATAAAATGTAAAAGAAAAACAATGATAACATCTAAGATATTAACTAAGAAAAACATCAACTATATATACACTAAGCACTAATAGCATAAAAAAACATTACGTCTAACATGAGCACAAACATGAACATGAGTCTGTATGAGCAGATGTTAGGGTTAGGGGCAAAAAGTGTGTGTGCTGGGTGAGTGGGGTCCTTCATGATGCAGGTGGCCATCTTCCTGCCCAGTCTGTTAGCAGTCAAATACTGTATGTGTAGCAATTTTAATTTGGTGAGTTATAGTCAAACTGCTGAGTCTGTTGATTTTGTTTCCAAGAACATAAAGAAAGTGACACGATAAATCCTGTTGGAGTTGCAGGTGGATGTTAGGCTGGTGGAGGGGCAGAGGACGCAAATAGCAAAGCAACAGTTTGGACGTGTAGAGAGATGGATACTTTACCACTAAGGTTGCGGGAAGTGGAGGTGCAGATGCTAAAGGACATATAGGCCCAATAGTTAAAGGAAAAGCAAATAAACAATTATTTCAAACTGATTGTATTGTTTACATGTCAATCTTGTGGTTTTAATGTTTTATTATGAGGCAGCACGATGGATATGTGGTTAGCACTGTTGCCTCACAGCAAGGTCAAATCCCTGATTTGGACCTGGAGTCTTTGGAGTTCGCATGTTCTTCTTGTGTTTATGCAGGTTAGGCTGCTTCAGGCCTCCCTTGCATAAGAGATCTGTGATCTCAGTGGGATTTCCCAGGTTAAATAAAGGTTAATAATTTATTCTAGTATATAAACAGGACTGTTATTTTTTTATACTTGTGCTGAATTGGTTATTAATCCAATTTTGTCTTGTGTACTTATGTTCAAACAATTATAAAAACCTCCCTGATGACTGGCTATCAAATTTAGAGTAGAAAAGAAATTCAGAGCGAGCACACTCAGCTGGGGGAAGCTAAGGTGTGAGGATCTGACCGACTTAAATAAATAACACATTTTGACACCGGCTTTTACAGTTTTTTTGTTTTCTGTCATTATTAAGAAGTGTAATTATAATGTTGAAATAAAAGCTGTTAAAGTAAAACCACAACAGCTGTCCTGCTTATCTGGTACATCTTCCTGTGAAATCTGTCGTGGTTTTTAACAAAAGAAGAAGCATATGAATTATGTTATCCAGTAAGATTGTATTATAAATGAAATGTTGAACATTGTGGATAAACCTGGAATCTGACAGATTTTATTTATTCATTTGACTAGTTTCATCAGATTTTTCAGCAGATGAGAGGATGGAGATCGAGAGCATTAAAATGTACAAGAAAGACCTTCTGGATGACATCCAGGTAACATCTGCACACATGTATAGATATACAAGCGACAAAAATAAAGTTATTATGGTGTATTAGCATCATAACTTTCTTTGTGCTTTGAATAGCATTAAAAGGAATATTAAAGGTGTATATTTTCCTCCCTGTCCAGAAGTTAAAGATGGAAATCGACAATGTCATGGCAGAAATCCTCAGCTTTGAGTTTGCAGAAGAAAGGTAGGTTTAAGTCTGGGGGGGGGGGGGGGGAACCCTGCACCTTTTTGTACAAACCACGTTTTCCTTTTACATAGGTCACCTCAGAATATTCAACAAGCACTCCTGTAGAAATGTCACAGTTGTTTAGTTTCATAACAACTTAGCCCCTCTTTCAGGTTAGAGGTTTTTTTTTGTTTTTTTTACTTCAAGAAAACCATCTTTATTGAAGATTATCTGTCAGAAAAGAGCAAATCTGTTCCTAAAAATAACAGAAATTATTAGAAAAAAGAATAAATCGCACTGACGTTTGAATATTCAACTCAAAGTTTTAAGTGTTACAGTATTTTTAAGATGTATTTTTGTAGGTATTAATCAAATACGACCCAAGATGTGGATGATGAACAGGTTCACACAGTCAGTTTGGGAGTTTGTTTTTAATGATTACACTTTATATATTTTTAGAACATTTAGTTGTTGTCACCTCCTGTAAGGAAAGCTTCATAATTACTTGTTCTCTGGTCTGCTTTAAAACAGCTGCTCTGTATGGTCAGCTGATTGGTCAGAAATGGTGGCTTCTCTTTTTTATTTATGGAGAACCAAACAGGCCATTTGCAGACATTATGCTAAATGTATTTCACAGCGATTCTGTGAGAAAAAGGGAAATAATAACATTGCTAGGCTACAAGTTAGGGGCAGAAATCACAAAACAAATAGGTGAAAATATTACTGTTAAACTCTAATATTGCAGTTTTCGTACACGCACACATGCACGCACACAGAAACAACAAAAGATATGTAACAAACTCAAACGTGCAATCAGACGTTTTTAAAGTGCCGAGCTATAAGCCGTCATTCTGCAACTGGTAACTTCCTTGTAGCTTTTGTTTTATAATGAGAAGCAAAACTTTTATTTATTTTTTCCTTCCTTTCAAGCCAACTATGGTAGACACTGAATTTACACTGAGAGCAACGGGCATTTTTCATTCAACCTTTATTTATACAGGTTAATCCCATTGAGCCTCGGGGACTCGTTTACAAGAGAGATCTGTTTTTAACAGATGACAACAGTTGACATTCATAAAAATAATACAAATTGAGAAGAATATATAAAAGAAAATGGTATTAAAAAAAAAACGAAACAAAAAACAGCTAGATTGTAAAGCGATGTAAAATAGTAAAAACAGGAACATTGCATTGTTTTTTTGCCAGGAACTTATAAGATGCTTGAAGCCACCCCGAGAGGTCAAGGTTGAGAGCTTCAAATACTTTACAAGATATTCCAGGAAACAGGAGCGGAGTAGGAGAAGACCCTTTTGCCTAGTTCAGTCCGCACTGAGGGAACACTGCATGTAATAATGTCCTGAGAGTGCACGCTGTAGCTGCACTCACACAGAGACATGTCGGAGGAAATGCATGAAGGCAACAGACCAAGAAGTGATTTAAAGATGAAAATGTACCAGTGAGAGAGTCTACATGAAGTTAATGATGACCAGTTAATTCAATTCAGTTCAGTTTATTTATATAGCGCCAAATCACAACACAGTTGTCTCAGGGCACTTTACAGGAACATTCACATACATAAAAGCCAATTAGTAAAGTTCTCTATCTAAGGAATCCAGCAGACAAGTTGAATCTTGGCTTCGTTGCAGTCTCCCATCAGTTAATCAGTGAATACAGGGTGCAGTGGGGGGGGGGGGGGGGGTACGGTAGTTACAGCCAGTTATGAATCTTGGTGCACTGTGATAGACAGCGTGCTTGTAGGAGCGTTCGTGTAAATAATGTCAACGTAATCAATAGAGGGAAGGAAGTTACAAGGCGTTTCCTAGCATTCAAAGTTAAACAAAATGAAAAAGAAACCCAATTTAACTTTCAGTTTCCTTACCAAGTTTTGGTAAGCTCCACATGGAGCTTAAAAGAGAGATGCGAATTGACCAAGATACCCAAATTATTATAGGAATTGACAAACTCAATAGGGACACTATTCGAGGATAAAATCGAAGGAAGAACTGCTGGGGCCGACTTCCTGTTTGAAAACAACATCCCTTTGGTTTTGTCGGCATTTAGGACAAGTTTGAGACAGGACAAATCTGACTGGATGAAGTCGAAAGCAGATTGCAAAAACTGGAAAACCTTAGCAATTGTATTATCTCGACAATAAACAACTGTATCGTCAGCATAGAATTGTAAGGATGCATAAGGGATATATATATATATATATATATATATATATATATATATATATATATAATATCTACTTTTTTAACAGGGCAGCACGGTGGCGCAACTGGTAGAGCTGCTGCCTCTCAGCAAGCAGGTCCTTGGTTCAAACCCTGGTCCAGGGGCCTTTCTGGGTGGAGTTTGCATGTTCTCTCCGTGCATGCGTGGGTATTCTCCGGATGCTCCGGTTTCCTCCCACAGACCAAAAACATGCATGTTAGGCTGATTGGTAACTCTAAATTGTCCCTAGGTGTGAGTGAGAGAGTGAATGGTTGTTTGTCTCGTTTGTCTCTATGTGGCCCTGTGATGGACTTGCGACCCGTCCAGGGTGTACCCCGCCCCTCGCACAGTGATTGCTGGACATGGGCACCGGCGACCCCCGTGACCCAAAATGGAGTAAGCGGGTAAAGATAATGGATGGATAGTTTTTTAACACTCTGTATTCACCCTGACAGCATACAGGGGATTCCAAGCTTCGAAGCAATGTTTTTTTTTTTAATTCTTTGCAACTGAACCATTTTCTTCATTTATGCTTTGCAGTAAAACCGCAGAGAAGAACAAACGGTTTTGTAACGGGAAGAAGAAGTTTAACATGGACCCCAAAAAGGTGAGCCAGGATGTCCGTTTCTGTGTCTCTGTGGGCTGTTGGTTTACTGAGAAAACGCTGTCCAAAAACAGTCCACGTGTTCTTAAAATACAAAGAAGTTGCCTCTTACATCTTCATGTTGTAATTGAGCTCTTTCAGGTCTCATCGCTGAAATGTTATTTCTTCTAAGGTTGATGCTTCTGTGAGTCTGTGAACCGACACTAACAGATGCCTACAGCAATTTTTCAGTGGTTTTACGATCAGGTTAAATGTATCTCTATCTCTAGACTTATTTTTTATGACAGGTTCAAGAGCTGAGTATATTTTCTTGACATTCATGATCACAATTCTGCCAGTATTGAAGAGGTAAATTCCTGACGGTGGAAATATTGCACATTAGATCTTAAAAATAATGCAGGAGAGAAGGTGAAAAGGGATTTGTGTTAATATAATAAAGTGTATTTTTAAACTTGGGCCTTCTTTTCAAAACCGTGTGTTGCGACAGAAAGAGGAAGAGAAATTAGTTTTAAGGAATTGGGATTACAGAAACTGCACACATTGTTTTAGCAACTTCTGATGAGATCATTGTGAAGCCGATATGCAGGGTCAGTGTTTGCGAGCCTGCAGACTTGGTGTCAGGATTGTTCAACTCTAATGTGGAAAGTCCCAAAGAAGAATGATCTCTTCTTACCTTTTACCAAAATAATTAACAAAAATGTACTTAACTAATCATTCAGAAATAGTGGGGGAGTGGTGGCGCAGAGGTTAGAGAGGTGGGCTTGTGATCCGAAGATCTCAGGTTCACGCCCCAGCCCCGACAACATCAAAATTGTGGGTGGGGTAGGTGAAACACCCACACTTGCCCCCACCCTCATTCGCCCCACTCTGGGCCCATGAGCAAGGCCCTTAACCCCCACCATGTGCTCCCTAAACAGGTCTCTCTTGAAAATGAGTTCTCGTGGCTCAATGAGACTAACCTGTATAAATAAAGGCTAAATGAAAAAAAAAATAATAATAATAATTGATTGCATCTAATGGCTTGAGAAATGGCTAAATTTGAACCAAGTTTTGATATTTGGCTGTGTGCTCCGTGTCTTAAACTCAACAAGTACCTTTCTTCCCCAACCAACAAAGTTCAGTCAGGTCATCTGGACGGGTTCTTTCTTTGTTGTTGTTGAGATGTTTCGTCCTTCATCAGGCTGAGGAGCCATAAACAAACTGTGTCCCTCCCACAAGCAGCACACTCCCGTAGTGGACCAACCAGTTTGCTGATGATAAAATGGTTTCTGGGGCCTGCCCAGCCTGCTGCTTGTGGGACATCGCTTGTTTGTGGCTCCTCTGATTGATCAAGTCCTTTGGATGAAGGATGAAATGACTCAACAACAAAAAAAAAAAAAGTTCAGATGGCCTGACTGAACATTGTTGGATTTTATACCTGGATTATTGAGCATTAACTTTGGTGTTTTGTACCACTTTGGCATGACTGTCTCAGAGGAGTTGACGGGGGAGAGGGCGGACCACGGAGGGCATCTTAGCACCAGCAAACTGGTTTTTCCACTATGGGGGTGTGCTGCTTGTGGGACAGTTTGTTTGTGGCTCCTCAGATTGATGAAGTCCTTTGGATTAAGGATGAAATGTCTCAGCAAAAAACAAAGAGACACTGTTCATATGACCTGACTGAACTTTGATGGATTTTTTTTTCATCTGGATTATTGAGCATGGGCCTTGATGTTACTTTTCCATGTTCAAAAATGTGAAATTGAATTCCAGCCAATAATCCACTGTTTTAACAGGGTATCAACTATCTGGTGGAGAACAAACTGCTGAATGGGAGCGCTCAACCCATCGCTGAGTTTCTCTACAAGGAGGAGGGACTCAACAAGACCGCCATCGGAGAATTCCTTGGAGAAAGGTGATCCGAGGGGGGGGGGGGAGTGGACAAGTTGGGGAAAGAGGAGGTGGGAAGATGGAAGACGGAGCGTATGAAAGGAAGGAGGGAGGGAAAAAATAGATGAGTGTTTAAAAGCAGAGAAAAAATTACCTGATAAAAGTTTGTAAAAAGCAGAGATATGAAATCAAACTTTTTTGTGTAAATATTTTATTTATTTATAAGTTTATTCATTTTTTAAAAACAAAAGAAAACAATTCAATATACAATAAGAAATGCAATCACAAATAAAATGAAAGGGAGCAGAAAGAAGAAAAAAAAAATCATATTATCTGCCCCTTTCTACCCAAAAAAATAATTCAAACAATAATGATCTTCAAATTAAAAAAACAAAAATGTAAGGTAAATGAAGATAATTGTAGAATAACTTGAGATAATGTCACCCGTTTTCAAAACCAAATGTCAGTAAGAAGAAGAAAATAAGAAGATTTAAAACTGCTTCGGTTCAGGGCCATTAATATTTGTGTCATTCTTGTGGTTTCCTTCTCGTCACAGGGACGAGCTCCATCTTCAGACCTTAAATGCCTTTGTGGAGCTGCATGAGTTCTCCAACCTCAGCCTGGTTCAGGCTCTCAGGTTAGTCCTCATCTGTCTTCACTCATGTCTCACTACATTTAACTGATGTTATAAAAAAATAATAAATTGGGTTATTTCAACCAACACCAGACTTGGTAAAATAATATAGCTTTTATTTTTTATTTGCACAGATTATTGTACATGACAAGTTGGACCCTAAAGTCAAATAATACAGGACTTTTGAAACATGCAGGGCTTTTAATCTGACCTATTTACTGCTCAGCTTTTTGCTGTCATGAATCAGCTGTCTAGTAAACTTTTTTTATTTTTTCAGTCTGTGAAACATGGAAATCCAAACGCACATGAAACAAAAATTTACTGCAATTAATGTAATGTTTGACATAATTTTCCATCAACATGAAACAGTCCATGAAATAGTCCACCAAAGTAGGAAATAGAAATAAGATTACATGACTTGCTGTCTAACCACATTTATAGAGGCATTAAGCATTAAAACTATTGATTTAATTTAAACATGATATAGTGCTTTACTGGGTATATGTGATTGTCTATCCAGTCTGCAAATTGTCTGTCAAGGTCATTGGTTCACTCAGCCACTCTGCACATAGAAAAATGTGCAACACATTTCCATTTTATTGTAGAAATATTAAGAATAATGCACATATTGAAAAACATGTATGAGCATAAAAATTGTCCACTGTGGATAAAGTAGGGAAAAGCATACACGGACTTCAATAATTGATTTGTTTCCATTAGTCTTTCATGGTTTTCATGGGATGTGAAATAATGTGAGTTAATATTTTGGGACCTTTGCTCTGTTTTGCCATTTAATTTTAATGCACCTTCTAATCCCATGTTCCCTTCCACCACATAAAACATTTTAAAGCAGCTGGTTTCCTAGAATTGTGCCGCTCAAGGTGGCTGCATGTTGGAGTAGCTCTGTTACTTTCATTCTGAGATATTACTTTTGAAAACTTTATTTCCTCTTTTTTCTGGATATAAATCGCGTTTTTTGGATGATTATTTCCTCTGGTGTCGGATGCTGTGCAGCTGGAAAGATTTTTTACAGAAATATCTTTGCTTTTGGACATTTGTTATGATGCGTTCCTGCCCACAGCCATCAGCATCTAGAACAACTCTTTAATGAAACCAGGATGATGAGTTACAACAACAATTAATTTCCCTCTGGGATTAATAAAGTATTTTTGAATTAAATTGAAGGGCAGCACGGTAGTGCAACTGGTAGAGCTGCTGCCTCTCAGCGAGTAGGTCCCTGGTTCAAATCGCGGTCCGGGGGCCCTTCTGGGTGGAGTTTGCATGTTCTCTCTGTGCATGCGTGGGTTTTCTCCGGGTACTCCGGTTTCCTCCCACAGACCAAAAACATGCATGTTAGGCTGATTGGTAACTCTAAATTGTCCCTAGGTGTGAGTGAGAGAGTGAATGGTTGTTTGTCTCTATGTGTCCCTGTGATGGACTTGCGACCCGTCCAGGGTGTACCCCGCCCCTCGCACAGTGATTGCTGGACATGGGCACCGGCGACCCCCGTGACCCAAAATGGAAGAAGCCGGTAAAAGATAATGGATGGATGGGTGGATGGATGGATGGATGGATGAATTGAATTAAACCAACCATAACAAAGGTACTAACTGAAACAAAAACAGACAAAATAATTGTAACCTTTACTAAACTAACAATAATATATTATGCTTTCAAATATATACCTTAAATGCCACAAAGATCCAATTTTAGCATCTCGGAGGAAATGATTGCTTTAAACGGCCACCTTCAGTGGAACAGTAAAATCAGCTAGTTGAGTTATCAACAGGCAGATTTAACACCTACCACATGCAAATCAGACCCACAAGGGTTTCTGAATTACACCAGTTTTTTTTAATAAGCTGGATGCTGTGTACATCAAGCCAACTTATTAGCATAAAAGCTAAACCCATCTACACAAGCTTATCAAAGAAAAACAATTGACAATTCTCATATAATTTTAGGACGAGCAAAGTTACAATTAGCATATTTTTCGGACTATAAGGTGCACTTACAATCCTTTACTTTTCTTAAAAATCAACAGTGAGACATATAATCAGGTGCGTCTTATCTGTCTGCAGTCTGTGGGAGGAAACCGGAGTACCCGGAGAAAACCCATGCATGCACAGAGAAAACATGCAAACTCCACCCAGAAGGGCCCCTGGACCAGGATTTGAACCAGGGACCAAATTCTGGTTGTGCTTACTGACCTTGAATTGATTTTATGTGGTACACAGCGCTAAAAAAATCACATGAAGTGTTCCTGTTGTGGTTTTGTTTAGCTTATTGCGCCTTATAGTTCAAAAAATACGGTACTGCTTTCCTCTTTTTTTCCTGTCTTCCTGTAAGTTATTTTGTTGTGCCCCTATATTGTAGTGATGAAGCATCTTCTGTCATGATCAGTGTGCTGTAAGAAATATCTGGCAATGCTCACAGTGCATTTTTTGTTATTGTAATTTTTTCTTAGCTTCCTGTATGCCCCAGACAAACATAAATTTTGAGTTTTTACATTTTATCTAATGTTTGTGAGTGATCAATACCAGCAGATCTGATTCTGAAGAGATGAGAGGTTTATGTTGTTTTTTCCCATTTAGTTCATATATTTAGT